CTTGTCCCTTCCATTAAGTTGGCTGTTTTCTTGGGGTTTTTTTGATCTTTTATTTCTGTCTGTCTGCCTGTCTTTAGTTTTCTTGGTATAACACTCTGTTCAGAATTTTTTGAAGAGCTGGTCTGGAGTTGGTAAATTCTTTCAAGTTTTGTTTATCCGAGAATTGTCTTTTTTGGAGAGTTTTGTTTGTTTGTTTGCTATAGGGTGCGTGCATTCGCACGCACAGACAGACAGAGAGAGACAGAGAGATAGAAAGCGAGAAATCACCCCCCCCGGGGGGGATGGCCACGCCGCAATCTCTTCTCCTCCATTCTCCTCTCAGGATCTTGGGCACACACGCACACGCGCCCAGTGTGAGTTTTAAGCCATTGGGTCCGGGATGTGAACCACGGTCGACTACGTGGGAGTCCAGCGACATAGCCATTACGCTAACTGCTGGTCCCTATCTGAGAATGTTTTTATCTGCTCATGCAAAGACAATCTTGCTGGGAATAGTAATCTTGGTCGAAATTGTTTTTCATGTAACATTTTGAATATATTTCCTCATTCTTTCCTTGCTTGCATTGCTTCTGATGAAAGGTCCAGTGTTTACCTGATGGGATAAGCTTTGTAAGTAACTTGACATTTCTCTCTTGCCAATTTTAGTATCTTGTCTTTATGGTTTGAGCCAGTCTGATAATAATGTGACATGGAGAACTTCTTGGGTTGATTCTATTTGGGGTCCTTTGTATTTCTTGGGTCTGCATGCTTGAATGCTTCTCTAGGCTTAGAAAGTTTTCTTCCAGGATTTTATGGAATAGATTTTCAGTGTCCTTATTAGTTTCTTCACCTTCCAGGATATCAATTATTCAGATGTTTGGATGTTTAATGGACTCTAATATTTCTTATATATTATCCTAATTTTTTTTTGGTTATTTTCTCTATCTTTTTAGTGTATTTTCCTAGATCAGAGGTTTTATCTTCTACACCTGAGATTTGATCTTCTGCATGATCTAATTTGCTTTTAATACTTTCAAGGGAGGTTTTGATTTCATTTCTTACAGCCTTCATCTCTAAATGCTCCATTTGATTTATTTTTATGGTGTCTACTTCTTTTTTCAAATCATGGAAATACCTCTTTTCCTCCTGTAGCTTGTCCCTTTTCTCTTGCATCTTCTGGAGTTCATTGCTCTTTTCCTTTCATCTTGTTAAATTTTGCCACTATGAATAATTTCTTAGAGTTAATTTTGAACATTCAAGGGTGTAGGAGGATGTGATCAGTGATCTCTTTGTAGCCCCAACTTCCTGATGCTCACCCTGTAACCTGCACTTTTGTTGCTGGGACCAGGTGTCCCAAAGGTCTCCCAGATTCAAGTGCTGGGAAGAAGGGCAGGACAGAAGTTGGAAGCAAGAGAGACTGGCAGCCAAGGTAATCTCTGGCCTCAGTCCACATACTTGCTTCTGCCAATCAAGAGCTGGGAAGAATGGTGGGCCTTTGAATAGTATTTTTAATTATTTGTACCAATGTTCTTCTATAGTACAACACTTATTTTGACATTAAGTTTTACTAGTTTCATTGTTCATTAGCAAATTTTCCTCATTCTTAACTTTTTAATATGTACTGAATTTTTCTGTCAGTTGGAGCACTTCTTTGAAATGTTTAGGAAGTTCATTTGGCAATACCTTTTTAAGCTTTCTGATTTCTAGAAGAGATTTTATATTGTTCATGTATATCATTGAGAATTAACTATTTAAAATTTGTATAGTATTTCGTGGTTATTTCTGTTCGATTCTCTCTCTCTCTCTCTCTCTCTTTTTTTCTCTCTCTCTCTCAGTAGACACTTCAGAAAAATTGTCTCAAGGAGTAACTAGACCAGTAGTATTTTTAACTAAGAGTCTATAGTATCATTATTCAGGAAGACAAATTAAATGAAGAAATCAATATATTTCTCTGAGACTGGAGAGATGTTCCACATGGGGTAGAGCCAGCTCTCCCTTAGGAGGAATGTAATTTATGAACCATGAAGGCTTTGTTCCATTTAACTCTTTAGCTGTCTCCTATTGACCATTTTCATATTGAACCACATCACCACAGACAGTATGAGAGGGAAAGCAAAGGGAACTGGTATTGAACTACATTTGTTTTCCAATAGTCTAGAGGGCTAGAAATGCCGAGGGTATAAATTTAAGACCTGGGAAGTTAATTCCTTGTATATGCCATCATTGTGCCCTGTCAGCACTTGCAAATTAACTATACTCTCACTTCCATTTTCTTACCATAGTAAGATTTTATCTATACTAATAATTTCATCCTGAATATATAAAGGAATCTGATTTCAATGAAAAAGATCTTCCTATTGCTAGGATACTTTTTTTTTTCTTATTTATGTGTCTACTTGTTTTGAGTAGTGCCACTTTGGGAAATGTATGGTCTATCACACAAATAGCAGCTATTTTAGGGATAAAAGGCAGAGAGAGAAGTTGAATAAACAAGTTGAAAAGCATTGCAAAGCCACTAGCTAGAAAGTGATTTCTGCTGAGAAAGGAATGATTCAATAGGGCAGGCTCATATGTGATTTGATTATGATGTCATAAGAACTGTCATTCATTATTTAAACATTAACATCTGATGTCAGCTACAATCAAGCAAAAACAGATTTGTTTCTCAAATATACCACTCTAAGTTTATTTTTGGTTTTGTTTTATTTTTGCCAAATTTCCCATGGAAAATTGGTCTAATTCAGTTGTCAAATGAATTTTTCTTGCTGAGAAACATGATTAGACGCATAACCTTTCTGGTGTCCATTAAATTTAAAACAAACATACTGTCTATTAAGATTTTTCCAAGGAAAACATATAAATAAATAGGACCTCTGATAATGAAGAGTGGGGCATTTTTACACATGGCACAATCTGGAAGGCCTTTTGAATGAACTGAATGCAAGCTGTATGGGGTGAGTCTCTTGTCTTTAAGGAGGATTGGCTTCTGTGAGTACCTTCTAAGAATGTCATTCTCTACAACCCAACTCCACCTGATTGCCTCCAAGGTCTTGTATGATCTGAACTCTGTTTGTGCTTGAACATTTGACTGTATCATTTGTCACTAACCCCTTGCCAAATTTGTTTAAGCCATACTGGCTAACTCAATGTCCTTGGAATATACCACACCCATTCTTGTCTCATGACTTTTGCAAATTCCTCTGCTTAAAATGCTATTTCTCTAAGTTATTACATGACCAGATCTTCATCACTCAGGAGTTGGTTAGATGTTGCCTGCTCAAGAAAGCCTTCCCTAACTCCTTATCTAAAGTCACCTTCCTCCTCTGTGTTGAACATTTTCCATCACATTACTCTGCTTTAGTTTTTGCAAAGCACTTTTCCTCATCTGAAATTATCTTAGTCATTTATTTACTTAATTATGTCTTTTCTGTAAGTCTGTCGTCCTTTCTGCTGTATTCCCAATACAAAATAATGTTTGACTCTAGTTCAGTAGTTATGAGTTGAATGAATGAGCCAATCATTTCATAAATGTTAAAACTTTATAATTGTGCTGTTTTTTTTTTTTCTTTTTTTGGAGAGGTTTTCGCTATAGGGTGCGTGTGCTTACCAGTCACACACAGAGAGAGACAGAGAGACAGAAAGAGAGAAATCACCCCCCCAGGGGGGATGGCCACACTGCAATCCCTTCTCCTCCATTCTCCTCTCTGGACCTTGGGCATGCACGCACACATGCCCGGCGTGAGTTTTAAGCCACCGGGTCCAGGACACGAACCGCGGTCAACTACATGGGAGTTCAGCGACATAGCCATTACGCTAACTGCTGGTCCCCAGTGCTGTGTTTTTGATTAAGCATAGAGCTAGTTTTTTGTTTTGTTTTGTATTGTTTTAGTGCTACTTATTTTCCCTGGCTTCTTGTTTTGTAATCGGTTGTTTATATTTAAAGGTCCCAAGCAAACTTATATAAAATTCCAGTTTTTACTGGGACTGTGGAAAAACTTAATTTCTCTGAGCCTTGATTCTGCATGCATGAAATAGGGTCACAATAATAGCTGTGATAGGTTGTCTTGAGGATGAAAAGAAATCATCTCAGAAAAGTAGTGAACATAACACTTAGTGTAGAGAACACATTTAATAGAGGTAATCGATAATCATGTTAATTCTTTTTTTGGAGAGGTTTTCGCTATAGGGTGCGTGTGCTTACCAGTCACACACAGAGAGAGACAGAGAGACAGAAAGAGAGAAATCACCCCCCCAGGGGGGATGGCCACACTGCAATCCCTTCTCCTCCATTCTCCTCTCTGGACCTTGGGCATGCACGCACACATGCCCGGCGTGAGTTTTAAGCCACCGGGTCCAGGACACGAACCGCGGTCAACTACATGGGAGTTCAGCGACATAGCCATTACGCTAACTGCTGGTCCCCAGTGCTGTGTTTTTGATTAAGCATAGAGCTAGTTTTTTGTTTTGTTTTGTATTGTTTTAGTGCTACTTATTTTCCCTGGCTTCTTGTTTTGTAATCGGTTGTTTATATTTAAAGGTCCCAAGCAAACTTATATAAAATTCCAGTTTTTACTGGGACTGTGGAAAAACTTAATTTCTCTGAGCCTTGATTCTGCATGCATGAAATAGGGTCACAATAATAGCTGTGATAGGTTGTCTTGAGGATGAAAAGAAATCATCTCAGAAAAGTAGTGAACATAACACTTAGTGTAGAGAACACATTTAATAGAGGTAATCGATAATCATGTTAATAATGCCCATTACGGTATTGGTTTACCAAATACTACTATTATTTCCTCCTTGTTTCCTTCTATAGTTCACTATTTTCAGAAATGACATCATGAACCTAATGTATTGGTTTTCTAAATGTATGTAGGACTCTGACTTGATTTAACCAAAATTATACCTCGAGCACTTAGGAAGCACCTTAGGCCATTTTAAGGTATTAAAAGAGGCAATTCTGCTAATGACATGCCTCTTTCTCTCTTTCATACACCTTTCCTAACGTGTCCTGAACACAGAGGAGAAGGCCAAGAAGGAAGCAGAGGAAAAGGCTCGCCTGGCTGCAGAGGAGAAGCAAAAAGAAATGGAAGCCAAAAGCCAGGCTGAGGAAGGTGCATCTGGCAAAGCTGAGAAAAAGACATCTGGCGAAGTTAAGAATCAAGTCAATGGAACACGCACAAGCAAAAGTGAAAACACTCGTGGGAAAAATTCCAAAGCTGAGAAGTCCTCAGGAGAAAAGCAACAGAATGGTGAGTAGAATTGCACAGGTGAAAGGTCTTTTCCTGGCATCAATGACGTGATGGAAACAGGCAAACAGCTTCAACTATGAAAACTTGCCGAGCAGGCCTTCCTCCGTCATCTAGCTCCTGCTGATCTCTTCTCACTGGGCTGTGGTTGCCATCAGCTCACCTGTGCCTTTCTCTTTAGGGAGATTGACAACTCATATTTACCTTCATAGTTGCTCTGGAGACTAGCCAATGCCTACCTAGCTACCAGGTTGAAATTACTATTAATAACCCAGCACAGTCCCAAGTACTCACTGCCAGATAGGTAAATGGGAATTCAATTTCTCATATGAAAAATCCCTCTAGGAGAATCCAGCCTCAGCTCTGCCTGAGGCCTATTCCTGAAGTATGTGTCTATATACCTACATGTGTTAAGTGTATACATTGCAGTGACCATTATCCCAGTTTGCCTGGGATTGAGGGGTTTCCTAGATGCAAGACTTTCTTTTTCTTTTTCTTCTTCTTCTTCTTCCTCTTTTTTTTTTTTTTTTTAAACCATAGAGCACATGCACTGTCCAGAGAGACAGAGAGAGGGAAAGTGAGAAATTGAGAAATCATCCCCCAGGGAGGATGTTCTATACCACAATCTCTTTTCTTCCATTTTTCTCTTGGGATTTTGGGCAAGTACGCACATGTGACTGGTGTGATTTTTCAAGTCTCATGTCCAGGATTCTAATAATAGTCAGTCAGATAGGAATCCAGTGCCTTAACCACCATGCACCTGCTGGCCCAAGGGTTTTCTTTTAAAAACCAGAAAAATTCCAGGGAAACCAGGATAGGCGGATTATCATAATGTACATATAGTTATTGATTTCTTGTATTTAATGCAACAAATATTTACTGATGAATGATTATATACCAAGCACTGTACTTGCCACTGGGGCTTTAGAAATGAACCTAAACACACCTATTATACATGTATACCTGTGGACATGGTTGATTAGAAAGGCTGTTGAGAGGACTTACCTCTCTGTCTCTTTCTTATGAAAATAAATCAATAAACTTGAACAAAGAAAAGAAATGGAAAGGTCTTAAGAAGTCCATGGTCTCATGGGGTTTTAGATATTCTTACCAATAACTCTAGTGAAACGTGAGCAAGTAAGTGTAGTGGCATGGCAGATACAGTGTCCAAGGAACATGTATAAGAGAAGAGGCATTAGTTGTTAGGACTGGGAATAGTGAAATAGGGTAAATATCAAGAGTAGGTGGTATCTGAGCTGGGTTTTAAATGCTAAAGCTTGCTGGTCAGAAGTCAAGAGACTTCTCAGCAGAAAATGAGGTGAGTGAATACACAGGGCATGGAATTGGTTCTCTGATGTAGGATAGGGCAGGAAGTTCAGAGGGTCTGCAGGTTCCAAGTGGCAGGTTGTGACTGAATAGTAAGGTAGATTCACAGTCAGCAGACCTCGTTTCAACTCACAGCTGTCTCTCCCTTCTACCTGGCCTCTGTCAGGTTACTTCATCTTCTATGAGTCAGTAAAATGTGCATAATAATACTTGCTCCAGCATGGCCTCTTGTAAACCTTTTGGGATTTTTACACACTTTTGAAATTTACATTTAATCATTGTACTAAAGATGTACAGTGTATAAAATTGTTTAACCCAGCATGAATGCAGTGCATATCAATCAAGGCAAGGATATTACCATATACTTTATCACCAACAGATAACTTTTTATTCTTGTGTCTGTTAAATGTTTTCTTACAAGCTTTTGATGATAATAGTTATGATAGCAAAAACAACAAAGACAGTAACAACAAACAGCATGTATTAACTACACAGCAGATACTTTTTAAAGGTTCTTTTTACATGTTTGTCTTCTTATCTGCTTAGAGGACCAGGTAATCTACTTCAAATTGTGCTCTAGCTGTCATGCTCTAGGACTTGGATAAATGATAAATATGTAGAAAGTACTTAGCAAAACTTTCTCTAATTATTTTTATAATTCACTTATAACATGTGTATTTGGGGACTAATATTTTAATACATATAATAACAATAGCTTATATCACGTTTCAAGAACATAGATTCCTTCCATTAACCTTCATCATCACCTTAGGAGGTAGGAGAAGCTAGTCCCCCCGATAGCAGCCTGATTTTGGAAACTGCTATTAACTAGTTTGTTTTATATTTAATTGCATCATAGTTCAGGAAAAAAATAAAAGTTCAGTATATAGTGGAGATTTATGATGCAGTTTTTGAAGTTTTAGAAGACTGTGCCAACCACCTTCTTTTCCTCTACCAAAGTCTGAACCAACTGAGTAAGAGATACCCAAATCAGAAAGCCAGTGATCAGGGTGTCAGCTCCACTGTAGTTGAGAGATGTGGACTTGTATTTGGGCTTCTTTACACATCTTCCCTGAATGGAGGTCACTCTACTAGAGCCTGGCACAGCCAGGCAAACATGGGAACTTGTCTCCTATCCACGCACCCCAGGAGACTGCTTCTGGAGTGACAGAAAATGTGTGTGTTTTGTGGAAAACACACTCCCAAGGAGGACGGAAAAGGGTGCTAGGCTGAGCTGTGCATGCTCAAATCTTCCTCCTATATAAATCACTCCTCTCAAAGGAAGAATACAGTAAAGGGTGGTGAGAGAGGCAAGATATGTCCTGTCTTCCCACCTTTCTTTTCTCTTTCTGTAGAGTGGGTAAAAATATCTTTCCCTTAATAAAAACACTATCATTTATTGAATGCTTAGCATGCGCCAGACATTGTGCTTGAGATTTTACCTATATTAAATCATTTAAAAATTAGAACAGGTCTATGAAGCAGATAGTCATTCCCACCTTACAGAGAAAGAACTGATATTCATAGAAGTCATTGGACTGTTAAAAAAGGAATGACATATTTTTTCTGTTTTCCTATGCAAAGATCTGTCATGATTTTCCAATGACCCAATAAATCACTTGCTTCAGGTTAAGCAGTCAGTAATTTGGGACCTCAGGTTAAACTCAGGCCTATGTGAGTCCTAACTCCATATTCTGTAACCAGCATGTCCCCACTATTTGTAAGGTTCAGTGCCATAGAGGAGAGGGAAGAACCAGATATTGAGATTCAACAACTGTTCATAAAAAAATTGTATAACTATTTATTCCAGGAATTATAATTATAATTTATACCAGTAATAGGTTGGATAGTGAATATTTTATTTTAGGCTTTGCAGGCTATATGGTCTCTACTGAGACCTGTGTTATGTTGGCAGTTGCTCAACACTGCCATTTTAAAGTGAAAGCAGTCACAGATGATACATTTCCAAAAGAACAAGCTGTGTTCCGATAAAACTTTATCCATGGAAATTGAAACTTGAATTCTATATAGTTTTCACATGTCACAAAAGATTAACTTTTTTATGCAATTACTTATAAATGTAAAACCCATTCTTAGCTTGTGGGTCATATAAAACAAGGCAGTGGGGCCAGGTTAATAAGAGAAACCAGTGAACACAAATAAGCCAGTCACAAAGAATGTTAAAATTCTATAAGGGGGCATTAAAAACACTCAGAAAGGGCAGAGATAACCATGACTTATTTTGAAGATGATTAGGAGCTTGAGCCTTCAACTAGGTTTGTTTCATTTCATGAATGTGTTTATTTCCCAACGTAAGCAACACTCTGCCATTTCCCTTAAAAATTAAGTATTAAATTAGAGGTGGGAAAGAAATCAATTTAGAGTAATAATAAGAAAGGCTAATGGTGGTTCTGGACTATATTATAGCAGCCTAATTAAAATGATTTATAACTGCACAGAAAAGCTCTTTTGTTTCCCTGTGTATTGAATAACTGCTCACATCACCCATTACTCTATACCCAACCCGTGGGAAATCACCTAATGGTTTTGTTCAAGGAACATCACCAAACAAGCATGCGTCACTTTCCTGGCACCCTTCTCTGGTTTACACAATTTATTTCCCAGGTTTAAGCTAAAGGGCATTTGTTAGGGGGTTGTATAGTTCTGTTCCCTTGGTGGCAATTACAGGATCCTGTAAGTTTTGGTCTCCATCGAGATACCTGTCCCCCAATCAGCATTCCAAACTCTGGATGAGAAGACACGCTGCCACGGGCTGCTGACTAGCATCCTACAAATTTTACATGTCTTCTGACTTAAAAAAGACACCCTAGTCTACTGCAGCTGTGGCTAATGCACCAGTTCAGAGAAATCTGGAAGGCTTTAAATAGATGCAGGAGTGGTATACAGGGTCCTTTAGGAAGAAAAATAACTTTTCTGTGGGGAATCAGTATGACAAAAGGTCTGGAGACTCTTGAGTCCAACTCTAGCAATATTAAAATAGGGAAAAGCCAGTATCTATACTGTCCATAAGACGTCCAAAGGAATTCCTTTCCTTTTGGTCATTGGTGATAGCAGAGGAAGATGACTCTTACCACTTGAACTCCTCCTGTTTGGACCCTGGCCAGAGTAGACTCCTGTTTTCCTCAATCCTTCCAGCAAGTTCATCCCATTTTAGAATTAAAAACAGAGGAAACCTGGAGTGTTTACTAACTTCTAACTTAACTTAGGAATTTGTCAAATTCCATTAAAAGTGTATGCTTTGTAGAATGTATCACAGCCAAAAATGGTCTTAAATTATCCTTAGGTAATCTGTTTTTAAATAAATTTGTAGACCAAAGGCACTTAGAAATGGAAACAATAAATGATAGCCTACAATCTAAAACTTGAGCTTCATAGGGGACCAATGAATACAGTAGTTGAGAGTCTGGCTTCTAGAATCAGAACTATCTGTGTAGCCTGTGGTAAATTACTTTACCTGTGCCTTAAGTTCCTCAGCCATAAAAAGGTGATGATAATGTAAGGGATCTTCAGAAAGTTACTGAAAATGCATGTTTTGAAAAATTATGTATTGACTTCAAAAATTTTTGTACCAGGGTTGGCCCTGTGGCCTAATGGTTAAGACCAGAACCCACATAGCCAACCGCATGGTTTGAGTCCTGGCCCTGGAGGCTTGAAAAACACATTGCACCTGTACATGTGTATTCACAAAATTTCAGCAACTTGGAGAAATGAAAGGAAAGGAATTGCAGCATGATCATACCTCATTGGGTGATGCTTTCTCTCTCTCTCTCTCTCTCTCTCTCTCTCTCTCTCTCTCTTTCTCTCTCTTTGTCACCAGTGAGCACAGGACCCTCTGGCAAAAATAAATTCTTAACGTGAGCCAAAATAAGATTGTACCTCAATTCCATTTTTTTCTATAGGCTTCCCCTCACACATATTTCAGGTTAATTTTCTACAAGTTAGTTAAGTACAATTCCCTATAGGAAGATTGGTTGGCCATTTTTCAAAGACTACCAGATGAGTGGCTTAAATCAGGTCTATCTTAGCTGACAGGAGCATTTTTATTGCTAGAGGGAGATGCAGGTGCAAGGTGGGAGTTAGGGGTGAGGCCAGGGTAGTATGTGAAACTCATGCTGATGGGGAACCCACTCAACACTGATGGCACTAGTCAGTGTTTGCTTACATGGCTGTAGTGATGTCAAGGAAAACTCAAACTTGGAAAGCATCTTCAATCATTTGATGAGTTGGTTATTCAACAGATTGACCATTTAATGGGCAAATCTTAGATAATTTACATATTTTCAATAATAGTACCTTAATAATGTGATTATTCTTAGAATTTAATGAAATAATGCATGCAAAATGTTTAACAGACTGCCTTGCATAGAAAAAGCAAAAAAAAAAAAAATTCCTTCCCTCACACACATATTTTGAATGCCTTGCTAACTCCTATTATTCTTAGAATCATTTAGCTTCGATAAGTACCAGTATTGGAATAGTAATGTATACTTGGTTTATATAAACTAAAAGGAAAACTGCCATTAGTGTGATCAGTAAGAAAAATACCTAGATTTTGAAATTAAAGCTGGAGGAAAGGGTTCATGTCCTCTCAATGTTATATTGGCCTATTTGAGCAGACTAGCACAAAATTATCATAGGGGGGCAGCATACCTTTGCTGTGAAGGGCCAGGCAGGAAATATTTCTGGCTCTGCACACCCATGGTATTCACCTCTACTTTTACATAAATGGACATGGCTGTATATCAATAAAACTTTGTTTATCTTAACAGATGACAGGCAAAAATTGGCCCAAAGGCCATAATTTGCTGACCTCTGCTTTTGAAAAACAGCTGTGCTTAACTTTATTATTTACTGTTTGATTCAGGACTACATACTATAAATTAAATGCTAACTTATAGATTTTTTGACTGATAGAGAAGATAATTCCAAAGATTATTTTTTATTATTTTATTGCCCGGTAGTATATAACCAGTTTATCTCTAGCCTAGCTATCTTAGCATATTTCTTAAATGTGTATAGATAGCTGCGGCCTTAAATGCTCGTGGAACCATCCTCATGATCTCACTGATTCACTCATAAATGAGCTAAATACATTTTGAGACATATTCATTCTGCATTTGTAGAAGCAGTGTTTTTTTAACATTTACAAATTACATTTTGATGAGGTCATGAATGAGAATGCCATTTGTAGCTCTGTTTCAAAATAATAACTGTCATTGAGTGAAAGCCAGATATCACATTTAGTACTTATATACTTTAAAATAATTTATCCTTATGTCTATAAAATAGGTGTTATTCTCCCCATTTCGCAGTCAAGAAAACTGAAACACAGAGAAGTTAAATAGCTATTAACTGGTAGAACTTATGTTTAACCCAGGTTTTTTTTCATTCCACAGCCAAACATCAAAGCTGAACTGCCTTTCTTGGAAGAAAAACACAATTGACTTAAGCACAACACTCTGTGGGTTTTTTTCTTTCTTTCTTTCTTTTTTTTTTTTTTTCTGTTTTAATTTGATGGAAAGTGCGTTCTCTCACCAGAGAAAGACAGAAAGAAAGAGGGAAAGGGAGAAAGTATACCCCATGAGGAATGGTCATGCCACAATTCCATCTCTTCAATTTCTCCCATTTTTTGGTATTTTGGACATGCACACACTTATACACCTACTGAGTTTTTCAAGTCAGTGGGACCCAATTAAAATTGCAAGATCTGCCATATAGGGTCTGGCTCTTGTCACTAGGCCATGGGCTGTCCCAAGTACAACCCTGTTTAATAGAAATTTTCAGTCTTAATTTCCAGATTATGATTCAATTTCTGGATCCCAAAACATGGTTACAAAAGATATTTAAACTCAGGCATGTACTCCCTCATGACTTGCCTTGATAGATTTAGAGATAGTTATAACTTCTCCTTCAGCTATACACAATGTACTGTTTGTCATGTCTGTTATTTTCAGGTGAGGTGAAAGATGGTAAAAATAAGGCGGACAAGAAGGATCACTCCAATGTCGGAAATGATTCAAAGAAAACAGATGGTAAGAATATCATTCCCTTACATTTTTTCATAAAATGTGGGATTTGATGCAAGCTTATTTGATTCATACCTAACACTGAATAAGTAATTGTTAATATTCTTATGTTATAGCCTGAAAAAACACTTTACTACATTTAGAGAGTACTATCATCCCTTTTATTGGTGTATCTCTTCCCCTCCACCATACTTTCTCTACTACAAATGCTTTCTAGGTCTTTATATTTCCCACTTGTCCCTTTTTTTTTTGGAGAGGTTTTTGCTATAGGGCACGTGCGCTCGCCAGACAGAGAGAGACATAGAGACAGAAAGCGAGAAATCACCCCCCAGGGGGGATGGTCACGTCGCAATCCCTTCTCCTCCATTCTCCTCTCGGGATCTTGGGCACGCACGCACAAGTGCCTGGCATGAGTTTTAAGCCACCGGGTCCGGGACGGGAACCGAGGTCGACTACGTGGGAGTCCAGCGACATGGCCATTAGGCTAACCGCTGGTTCCCCCCACTTGTCACTTTTCAACTTTATAAAAAGTTGATTGCAGGACCAGCAGATGGCCTAATGGTTACATCGCTGGACTCCAATGTAGTTGACTGTGATTCAAGTCCTGGACCCAACAACTTAAAAAACTCAATTCCAGGTGCATGTGCATGCATGCCCAAAATCCTAAGAGGAGAATGCAGGAAAAGGGACTGTGGCACGGCCATCCCGTGGGGAGTAATTTCTCACTTTCTGTCTCTCTTTCTCTCTCTCTGGCGAGCTCATGTGCGCTATAGAAAAAAATCTGTCTCTAAAAATATGTTGATTGGAGACCAGCAGTTAGCGTAATGGCTATGTCGTTGGACTCCCATGTAGTCGACCGCGGTTTGCGTCCTTGACTTGGTTGCTTAAAACTCACACCGGGCGCATGTGTGTGAATGCCCAAGATCCCAAGAGGAGAACGGAAGAAAAGGGATTGCGGCATGACCATCCCCCGCTGGGGGAGTGATTTCTCACTTTCTGTCTCTCTGTCTCTCTCTCTCTCTGGCAAGCACACGCACCCTATAGCAAAAACCTCTCCAAAAATAAAATAAAATAAAATAAATTTTAAAAAATTTAAAAAATGTTGATTGCACACTTGCAGATTTTAACAAAATGTAATAACACATATTGTTAATGGATTTATAGGTTTTTGATAATGAATTTTTCAGCATAAATAGCTTTTTTGATATTTTTTACTTTGAGTTATTAATTTGGGTAAAAAATTATCAAAAAAAAAAAAAAAAGGTAATCTGTCCAGTGTTATGCTGTGGGGCAACATTCATGGTTGTAGAACACATTTAGCCAGCAAGAACCAGCATGAACAAGTCCCCTAAAGGCAATGATAACCTGAAACCAAAGTTAGAATGAACCTATATGGTACTCTGCTTCTTAAGTTTGGTTTTTAATTTTCATGAGAAATAGTTTACTCTTTTTAAAATCTGGAAGTTCAAATTTATTACCCTCCACACTTTCCACTATAAGATTTAGAACCTACCCTTGCCTTTCACATAAGCTTCATTGTTTTGGTTGTAACGTGAGCTCATTCTCAGTTATTGCATCATACATGGACATGCTATTAAGCTAAAATTGGAGCTTCCAGAAACTAATTTTTGTTGGAATCCAGATGATCTTTGAGTCATACTTCCTAGCAGACATCATATTTGATGCTAAGCTAGTCTTTGAATAGTTTGTTAGAATACCTTTGAAGAATGAATGGTGGATAATCAGATTGAGAAGTAAGAAGAAATTTGAGCATAACACTTTACATATACTAAAACAAAAGAGTCTCTTTAGCTTTTAGTCCTAAGCTGTCATACCATACTTTCTTTACTTGTGTACAAGAAATCAGTTCTCAAACATTTCCTTTTAAGACCATTCAAATAATTAATCCAAATAATGTGTGTTATCGCATACTGCCTGGGGAACCCACACAAGCAATTTTTCACCAAATAGCTTATGCAAACAGAAACCATCAATCTAATGAGAATTTGCTCCTTAAATAAATGTAAGAAGTGAATTCTTTTCCAAAGACATGACTGTCTTTCAGCCAAACTGCTTTCGATAATGAACCAAAGGTTCTTTGCCCAAAATTATTAGACCTAACTCAAGGCAATTCAAACCAGATAATGTACAGTGCATAAATGATATCAGCTATAAACTCAGACCTGCACATGTGCCCCATCCTGCATCCAACTCCCTGATCTGAAGTCTTATAGCATAAAAGCCTAGAAAAATTAAGTCTCAAATTTTTAATATGGACTTTTAAATGCCTTTGCATTTTTGTTATGTGCTTTCGGTATCTACTATGTTGTTGTCATGTGGTCATTGTGGGTTAAATTTTATCAGCCACATAAAGTGCTTTTATTTTGTCTGGGCCCTTTTAACAGAATTATTGCCAAATATTTTAAAGGATTGAACAGGTTTTCTTTTTTTGGGGGGGAGGGGGAAGATGGTGCAATAGTTTCTGTATTTTGTCATGCAAATAAATGTAAAGTTTAGCTGTTTAGTTAATGGAGTTCTTGATTTCATGGGACAGTGAGCAGACCAAGGTAAAGTGGAGTCATTCTCTGACACCCATCCCCTTTTCCCTCCATAACTTTAATCTTTTATTGCTTCAAGTGGGGGGTCTAGTGTGCCCATACACCTGCAGGATTATGCACAAACATAGGCATGAATGACTCTGTATTTTATTTTATTGATTGACTGACGTGACATCTTTGATACCAATAGGACTTAGGATGTTGAGCTTCAATAGCTCGCACTAATTTAGTCCAAACCTTTGTCAGGAAGAAAGCTAATTTTAGTGCGTAAGTGGTAAATAATTTGATCAGTCTTATCTACGCCTTCCCATTTGATCAATAAAACCCTTCCTTTTAGAAAACTTAAAAAGAAAGTATGTTGATCTGTAGATATATTGAGTTTTAAAGAATTATTTGGAAATAATCAGATACATTTTTAACATTTCTTTGAGTGGATCCTATTGTATATGATGACCAAGAGAGCCAGTTTAACTCTTTTCATATTTCCTACCCCCAAACGTAGCTCTGGGAACCTTTAGTGACTTGTTCTCTCTTCATTTTTGAGAGGGAGTATCCAGGTACAATCCATACCCAGAATGATCTAACCCACTGTGGTCTATAGTCGTGGCATTGTAAACATTCAGAGACAAACTTAATGGACACTGGACCACAGTTGGTTATCCCCCAAATCTCAAGAGTTTGCACAGAGGGAAATATTGTATGCTGAAAGACCTGGGGTAAATTACATCCTAGCATAATGAACACATTGCAGTTGTACATTATCTCTGTCAGGCTACTGGTGTACTATATTTAGTATCCTGCAGCACTAATTTTCTAACTGACTTCAAAGACTGGATGTCTTTTGAAAGGACCTTGCTTACCCCTAGGGAGAAATGTTCTAACATAGAAAGGTCTAGGTCATTGAGCCACAATTCTCTTAATGCCTTAACTTTTCCAGTGTTATTGGGAGAGTCATGGAATACCACACAAATTAATTATTTTTAGTACATTTTTAACCATGTTTATAATAGCAGAGCTTCTTGGACCTGCCATAATTTATTATAATTTCCCAGAAGCACAGACTCGCCTTTAACTTTGCTAGATTGTATAAACAAAGATATAGGAAATAGCCACCTTTTTGCCTCTCAAAAGACTGATTATAATTAAGCCCTCACTGTTTATTAGCCAGCTCCCAAGGAATGAGTTCAACAGGAGTTTCTCTTTCAAAGAGTATCCTGAAAATTGGAATTTTTGTAGATGTTGGTTCATGAAATTTGAAAGTCAGTTGTGAATAGTAGAAATGGCAGACCAAAAACAAAACAAAACAAAAACTGTGGAAGTATATTTCTGCCAAAGGGAAATGACGAGAACTGGATTAACCCTCCCATCTGAAACAACAACAACAAAAATGCCAAATAATGTATGTGAAAGAATGGTTTTCAAGACACTCGACATCAGGAAATGAAGAACAATGGTTTATGAGAGACAAAAAATAAATGAGGTAAGCCCAACAATTACCCCAGGTTACTGCCTTGAGAGAATATCTAGGCAATATAAAGAAAAGTGATACGAGCAGACCTCTTTGATTCTCTGAGTTGAGAAGTTGAGTAAGAAACAAGGAAGATCAAAGGGCCAGAGTGGACAGAGTAAAGTACTCAAGAACTTTAGGAAGATAAAACTCCAGAGATCTGAAAAGTATTCAATAGAATATTTATCAACCTATGCAACAAGGAAACTACCTAAGGTTATCAAAGAACCAGACAAGAGTTAGATTTTCTAACTCTTAAAGTTAGAAAAGAAGCAGATAAGATTTCCTACCCCTATTATTCACATGGGGTAGGAAAAAAGAGCCTGTTCTTAGTACCCACGCTTGAATACATCACTATTTAAAGGAAATTAGTATAAATTAGTACAACTACTGTGCAGAACAATTTGGAGGTTCCTCGGAAACCTACAAATAGAACTGCCATACAACCCAGTAATTCCACTCTTAGCTATCTATCCAGAGGATAGGAAAATCTTCAGTCAGAAAAACACTTGCACATACAATAATGCAGTTTATTGCAGCATTATTTATAATTGCTAGGACTTGAATCAACTCAAATACCCTAGTACAGATGAGTGGATTGAAAAATATGGGAAATGTATTCTGTGGAATACTACTCAGCCATAAGAAACAATAATACCCTGACATTTGATATAAATTGGACAAATGTGGACAATTTAATGCTGAGTGAAGCAACCCAGACTATGAAAGACAGATATTGTATGTCCCTGCTTAATATATGCCAAATGTCTGCACTCCATAGCAGTAACTGGAAGATTGGAAGGTATAATAGTAAGGAGGGCAACTGTAGATACTAGAACAGTGAGGGGGATAAAGGAGGTGGGTAACAGGGTTTGGGAAGGAAGCAATCAAGAAAAAGACAAAAAAGCACATTCAGTAGACGTAAGAATGAAGTTATCTGT